AAAGCAGGCGGCTTGCAGTTTTTAGTATTATGTGTGCCATGCAAACTAGAGAATTTAAAATAGAAGCCGCAACTAGGGATAAGCAATCAATTTAAATTTTCCCAATTCCCTAGCTAGTCGCAGCATTACTTGCAGAGCAGCGCCAGAATAGAGCACCACAATAAAAAGGGCCATCTCAAATGAAAGTTTAGGGTCCTTTAACTAAAGTCAATCCGATTGCCAGCTTTTAAATTGTTAGTACTCCAGTACTGTCCTTGCAACCCATTCGCGCAACAGCTGTGGCTTTAGCTATCGAAAAGATATCGATCGCACAATCAATACAATCAATACTGCCGTGCCAGCTTATTGGAGATGCCAACTGTTCTGCAGCTATTTTGCTCAATTAGGCCTTCTGTAGGCGTGTGTGGTGCATCATAGTTATTAATATACGAGTACATAAGTATGTCAGTTTCAAGGCACGCAACTAGATGCTTCAGCAGCGCATTCAAATATAGTATATTCCATCCAGATCGTTGTACATACATACATATATACATACATATAACTTAACCTAAACATACATATGCACACAACTCGTGCCTCAGGAATAATAGCAAAGACTCGGCAACCAAGTCAGAATGAATAGAAGGAAGTAAGGCAAAAGGCAAAAATGTAACACGATATACCTCTGATGTGAGCGGTCTTTCTACATAGTTTTAATTTATTTATTTAATTTAACACAACTAAGTGCGTGCCGAAATAAACATTAAAAGATTATCTCTCTTGCTTTGCTTAAATGTATTTAGTGTAGGTCTTATGCCTAGTAGTGTATGATTTGATTAATTCATGCATACTATATGTATGTATGTTTCTTACTTCTCCATTTTATATGTATGTACTTCTATTTCTTAATCATTACTATTATTATTATTATTAATTTTTTTTTTGCTTAGTTCTAGGTGTTCGATTTTTTTCTAAAACCAATTAATATTAATTAATTTGTAAGTGGAACGCATAAACAACAACAACATATTTCCTTAAACAATTATCTTACATTTAAATGTATGTCATTTTTATTAACTTTGTTTTTTTTTTTTAAATATATACATAAATGTAAATCCTTAAAACAAAACAAAAAATAATGCAAATGCAAAAACAAACTGTGATCTTTAAAAAAAAACCCTTTGACAAAGTGACAAATGAAATGTTTTTTGTTTTCTTTGTACAAAATTCTCGTTTTGGCTGTTCTCATTTTTTTGTTTATACATAATAAATTATTTAAAATAAACAAATTTTTATACAAAATTTAAGTTTAGACACGCTGTGCATAACTGTGAAAGCAAAGAAGCAAACTTTTGTATTATTTTTTTGTGCATTTTTTACATTTATATTATTAACTATTATTCAAAATTATATTGTTTTGGCATATACCCACATACATATATATACATACATATATACATATGAAAAATAAACACACCTGTTTTCTTTAAAGAAAAAGAGCATTGCAGAAAAAAAGAAACGACAAAAAACACTTTCATTTAAGATTAGACTTGCACATATCTTTATTATTTGTAATTCGATTTCTTTCTTGTGCGCCACCATAATCCACTTTATTATTGTTTTTTTTTTTTTTTTTGAGTTGCCGCTCAGCATACAAACGACGAACGTGCCAAATCAACATATTTATAGAAAACTTACAAGTGTATACTATGATGGTTCAGACATAAGAAAGTCATCGGTTTGGCAATTGATCGTGTTTTAAAAACAAAACTATTAAGCCCGAGTCTATCGATCGGTGCCACCAAACAACAATCGATAGTCCTAACTGATTCATCGAATGTGTCAGCAAACATATCGAACGATCATTTTTGAAAGCGACCCAGCCAATTCCCATGCAATCATCAAATATTCAATCGACTTGCCTGATCTGCTTAATCAATATTCTGACTGAAACGCCGCTTGTTTTCAAATCAAAGACCAGTAGAAGAACTGCCCGGAACATGGTTTCAACTTCAGCAAAGACTTCTGCACTTGCAGATTAATTACGTTTGTATATTTTTTCATCGGATCACATACTTGCCATGTCCAGGAACTTTCTATGTTTGAACTATCCCGCTGGACACCAACATATGTATGTATTTTGCGCATAATTGCTCAAAAAGCGGACCACAAGGGGGTACTATACAAATGGTGTACTTGCAACACTCAGGTTCTTAAATTTTAAGCAGAAACACACATATGCAAACGAACACTGCTGGCAACGGGCATTTAAATTTTGTAAAACAGCAACAGCAATAACAAAACAAAATACAATACAATTTTTAACAATATTTGTGTAGTTTATAGTTATAAATCCCATTTATATATACATACATATATATAGGTGCATACCAATTCATATTTACATATGAAGAATGCATATTAGTAATACAAAAAAGAAACAAAAACCAACACACACACACACACTCACGCATAGCCACAACAAACAAACGAACCAACCACCCACCCACCCACACAGCCATACATGTTAAAACAAATTTCAAAATTCTACAAGAAATTTTGCAATTCAAGAGAAGAGGGCGCAAAAATTTAATGGAAAAAGGCAACGCATATCATAAAGAACAAATAATATTAAAAACAAAAAAAAACGAAGGAAAAAAAACAATTGAAAATTAAATGCAAAATGGAAAAAATATGAAATTTTAGATAATTGAAAATTATTAGTCAAAATTCTATACATACTTATAATAAATATTATTAACAAAACCAAATACATTTCGGAACTATGCTGTTTATTGATTTAATTTTTTTTCGGTAATTAAAACAAAAAAAATCTGTGATTTACTACAAAATTTAAATTTAAAAAAACAAAAACGAAGATGAAAAAACCAAAATTTAATGTATAGCGAAAACAAAATTAAGCAAAAAGAAAACAAAAGCAAAAGAGCGCAAGAAAACAAAAACAAAAACTACGACTCAAATTCTATCACGAACTTTTTTGGATTTTAACTATTACTATACATACATACATAAATTATACAAAATCGATGATAAACCGAATAATGCATCAATGCTTAAGATTGACAAAAAATTCGAAAAATTTAAAATAAAAAGTACATACTACATGTTGTTAAATGTTTTTATTATGCAGTTGCATTTTTTCGTGACTTTTGGCTAAAACTTACACACGAAACAAAAACAAAACAAAATCAACATTTTTTTCTATAGCTTAACTGAGACAAATGTATTTGTTTTAACATTAAGTCCCCTACATACAATATACTATATATACATCTCTCAGAAACAAACACACACACACACACATACACACGTTTAATAGTTGTAGTCAAAAGCAAAGCGTTAAGCCAGTAAAGAGTTTTTTGTAGTTTTTTTCTAGGCATAATTTAACTGTAATTTCGAACACTTACAAAGTCCGAATTTATTGAGCAAAGAACGATAGAGAGGGGAAATTGGCAAAACAAAAACAAAAGGAAAGAAATGAAAAATGAATGAAAAGAGACAAATGTTTTAAATATTAGCATAAAATTTGCACAAGTTTAAATGATGAAAAATTATTTATACATAACAATAATTGTAAATGTTTTTTTTTTAAATGATATATTAATATTATTATAAAAACAAATCAATGCCATAGTGGGTAACAGCAACCGTTCTTGATCCATGACTATGGAAAAGGGCAAAATGCAAAAAAAAAAAAACATAAAAAGAATGCTAATACATCGGATCTTTAAATGAGAACGATGGCACGAAAGAGGAGAATTAAAAGAAATCAGAGCAACATACAAGTATGTTTAAGTGTATTGAGCATTAAACATTATAAATACATAAAGCATACTGATTGAAGAAAGCTGGAGATGATAGAAGCAGATGAAGAGATGCAGAAATATATATAATTACTATAATTACGTGTATACAGACAAAAATACAAACAATAAATAAAAATTTAAAAAACACACATACCCACATGCTCTTTTCATATCGAAATGGGTTGGAGAAGAGCTTTGAGTTGTCTTTATGCGAGCGATATTCGAAGATGATGACATGTTAGCCGAAGATGCAGACAAAAACTTCAATGAAATTAGTATCGATTAAATATCCCCAACTCAAAGATTTATCGCATTTTAACGGAATATTTTGGTCTTGCTTTCTTCCGCAAGAATTCAGTATTCAACTTTCAAAAGACATCGTTAAGAAGTCAAAGAAAAAGGCCAGAACTTTTTATACAAAACTGTGACTGATGGTGAAAAGTGGTGTTTTCAATAGAAAATCAAATGGCCGATTGCAAGCAGCCAGATGGAGAAGTCAAAAGTGAAGACCATACTAATTAGTTTCTACGATTCCAAGGGAATTATCCATCGGAAGTTCGTTCCACCTGGTCGAACGGGCAATGCTGTGTTTTGAAGCGATTGGTTCGTCGTATGCGGCGTATTGCTTGAATATTTGCTTCAAGCTTTACAATTGCAAATGCGAGTAGTTGTTTTAAGGTAAAGTTTATAGCAATTAGTCCCAAAAACGTAAAAATAGCAATTAACAATATACTATATATATGAAATATAATTTAAAAAGCGATAAAAAAGCGGCATAAACAAAACATACATACGAGCAGCCACTTCATATTGGAAATAATCGCTTGGCCGTTTTTAGTCATTAAACAGATTGTTGCAATTTTCTTTACTATTAAATACAGAAGTTGAAAACATTTTGGTGAAAAAGCAGAAAGCAGAATCAATAAACTGTTATTATGAAATTAAATAAATGTAGACATTTGCGCTTGCGTGCAAGATATTTTTAAATCGACGTTTAAAAAAAGGTGGTATAGAAATGTATACATTTTGCCGTAAACGGTCGTTTTCCAGCACACACGTCGAATGCTTATCAGTCGCTGCCAGTGTGTACACACTTGGCAGAAGCAGTATTTTATTAAATCATAATCTGCAAATTATACTGGTGGGCGTTGCTATTGTTGCAAAAATTCGCCCAACATAAGAATTCTCGATACGGAACTATAAAGCAATGCAAATCAATAGGTTTGAAAATTTAAATATTGCTTAAGCATAAGCCACTGGTCATTACGGAAAATGGATCATCCGATGCCAAAGTTTCTGCCCCGCATTGAGAACCCTGGTGGGGCACCGTACGTGGCCACCGGCGATGGAAATCCTTTCGAGACAGACGACGATGAAGAGGAGATGTTTAGAAAGTGCAAAATGAATCTTCGCACGCCCGATGATTGCACGGGCAAGCTAACGCACTTAAGTGTGTCCAAGAACTGGTTGGTTTGTCTGCTAGCCAGCCCAGAAAACATAATCATGCTGCGATACTTCTTGCTTCGCGCGGCTCTTCCACCAGGAAGTCAGTTTGTATATATATATATCATGACATGAGCCGGTTATTTTTTAATACTTGGTATTTATTTGGCAGAAATTGCACTGGAAAAAATTGTAACCGCATCCGGCTATAAGATTACCAAAATATTTCATGATCCAACTGGTCATCATTTAATCATTTCGATTGTGCCCAAGCAGGTGGGTGTCTCAGCAGACTTCCTTTACGTGCACGCGAACGGCCCCAAGCCGCGCCGCATTGAGAAATTCAAGGAGCACGAAATTACAGCCGTGGCATTCAACACATACGACGGCAACGAATCAACGACCGGCCCCATATTGCTGGGCACTAGTCGAGGCATCATATTCGAGACTGAACTTGGCCTGAATAGTGATACGCAACGGCGCCAACTGTACGATTTGGGGCTGGGCTTGGCCAAATATCCCATCACGGGCCTGGAGCTGCTTCGGGTGCCTAACAGCAGCCGATACATAGTGGTGGCCACCACTCCCGACTGCATCTACACATTCCAGGAGACACTGCGACCCGATGAGCGTTCGCTGAATGCCATATTTTCGGGTTACGTAACAAGCATGAAGGAGCCGCACTGCGAGGAACGTAAAACAGATATAAATTGTTCCCTGCTGCGCTTCTTTGCGCCACCAAACAGCAAGTACCCGAAGCAGTGGGCCTGGCTATGCGGCGCAGGCATTCGCGTGGGCGAGGTAAGTGCATGAAGAATGCTACTCCCATTGCCAGCGCTAATCTGCCCTATTTCGCACGCCATTAGCTCTCTATTGATCCCAAAAGCTCTGCTACACTGCTGGGTGACACACTCATTAGGCTAGACTTTGACCAGCTGCTACATTTGTCGTTGGACGAGCGTCGCCTATGCGTGCCCAAGGCCTTTGTACTCACAGAGTATCATGCACTGCTCCTCTACGCGGATCACATCTCTGCCATTTGCCTGCTTAACCAAGAGGTTGTCTATAATGAGACGTTTGATGAGCACCGCCTGGGCCGCCTCCTCAACATGGATCGTGACGCCTTCACGGGCGACATTTACGTGTATACAGATCAGTATGTGTTCAAGATGCGAATAACACACGAGGAGCGTAACATATGGCGCATATATCTGGAGCGCGGCCAATATGAGCTGGCCACGGCGCATGCAGCGGGAGTGCCCCAAAATTTGCAACTAGTGCTCGCGCAGCGCGCGGATGCTGCTTTCAATGAAGGCAACTACGAGGCGGCCGCTAACTACTATGCCGAAACAGATAAGACCTTCGAACAGGTTTGCCTAAAGTTCATGGAGCTGGATGACAAGCGACCCATTATAAACTATGTGAAGAAGCGTCTAAGTAGGCTGATCACAAGCATAGCAGCTGGAGCAGGTCAACCGAATGCAGGTGCCGGAGGTAAAGAAGTAGCGCAGCCAGAGCTGGCAACCAAGGCGCTGGTCATTTGGCTGATCGATCTCTATCTCATACAAATCAACATGCCCGATCGTAATGCCGCCTGGCGCAGTGCCTGGCAACAAGAATATGATGAATTCATGCGTGAGCCGGCGGTCCTTGCCTGCACCCGTGAAAATAGTACTGCAGTCCAGCAATTAATTTCCCAGCATGCGGATCCTCATAACCTCGCCCAGTTCGCTATCTCCATTGGTGACTATGACGAGGTCATTGCCCAGCAATTAAATGCCGAACGCTATGTGGAGGCACTACAAACGCTGGAGAATCAACGTAATCCCGCACTCTATTATAAGTACGCGCCCACGCTAATGGAGCACCTGCCGGAACAGACGGTGAACGCTTTAAAGGCGGAAGGCCCTCGTCTGGATGTGGAGAAGCTGGTGCCTACTCTCATTGTAATGGACACGCGGGAGCAGCGCAAACATGTCACACGATATCTTGAGTTTGCCATTTATAACCTGAACACGTCCAACGATGCCATACACAATTATCTGCTGCATCTCTACGCGGAGCACGAGCCCACTAAGCTGATGAAATATTTGGAGATTCAGGGTTTTGACGAGACGCAGGTGCGCTACGACGTACCCTATGCGCTGAAGGTGTGCACGGATCTGGATCGTAAGGAGGCCTGCGTATTCCTGCAATGCTTGCTCTCTATGTGGACAATGGCCGTGGACTTGGCGCTTAAATTCGACATGAAACTGGCCAAGGAGACAGCCTCCAAGCCGGATGATCCCGAGACACGACGCAATCTTTGGCTTCGTATAGGTGAGTTCTTGTCCCATACTTTTTTATACGTTTCTATTTACAATTTCTGCGACAGCTTACCATGAAATCAAGGGCACAAATGACGTAAAGAAAGCGCTTAATTTGCTACAGGAATGCAAGCTGTTACGCATAGAGGATCTACTGCCATTCTTCTCGGACTTCGAGAAAATTGACAATTTCAAGGAGGCTATTTGCAACTCCCTCAAGGTCCGTAATCTTCACAGATCAAACACACCACATGCAATTAGCTAATTTCAAGACACCTTACAGGAATACAATCAACGCATACAGGAGCTACAGCGCGATATGGCCGAGACCAAAGAGCAGTCGGATCGCGTGTGCGCGGATCTTCAACAGCTGCGGACACGCAGCATTCGCATGGAGGCGAAGGATGTCTGCAGCATTTGTGAGCTGATGCTGCTGGTCAAGCCGTTCTTTGTCTTTATTTGTGGCCACAAGTTTCACAGCGACTGTCTGGAGAAGCAAGTGGTGCCTATGCTGACCAAAGAGCGCAGTCGACAGCTGACGATGCTCAAACACCAAATGGAAGCCCTGATGACACAAACAGCGTCAAATGCCATGGCTGCGCCGGAAGAACAACGCAAGCGCTTAGAACTTAAGACTAAGATTGAGGAAATACTAGCTGCCGATTGCCTCTATTGCGGCCTAATGATCGAGACCATTGATCAGCCGCTCGTTGATGATTGGGACAAGGTTAATGTGGAGTGGGACTAGCCAGTCCTCACTCAGTTCGCTTCGAATTCTGCAATATATGTACATTTTCATGTGCGTCCATTTTGTATTTGTTGGTGTATATATTAAGTAAACAGTATTTATTGATAATTTTTTACAAATCACATTCAGAGAGCTAAAATTGTGCACTGCTCCAGTTTCTGTGCATGGCCTATGAACTAAATACATACAACATATATAAATGTTATAAAAAACACTCGTGCAGCTGCATTTGTTCCCTGTCTTTTGGGTGGGTAGCTGGCATCCAAGCTGACCGTAGTATCAGTCAATGATCTGCATCCGCAGCTCATTGGATACAAACGAAACGACCGTTTTGAGCACAGCCTGCTGTATGGATGCATTATTCATTAACAATGGCAAGAGCATGACCACATCGCTCGGATGTATTTCGGCCACCGCTTTGGACACGTGCTGCACCAATTGCTCCCGTTGCCTGTCCGTCAAATCATTGAGTATGACCTCGCCCAAGGGTCGGAATTTGCCTGTGAAAAAATAAATGGGCATAGTTCCCATGAATTCATCGCTATGCGTCATTGCATACTCCACTTGCTTACCGCTGGTCATTTTGTAGGCTGCAATGCCACCGGCGGCGCCACCAATGGCCAGACCCACAGGACCCATTAGCATGCCGCCAGCGAAGGAAGAAGCGGCACAAATGGCAGCACCTTTGGCCGATTGTTTGACGGCGACACGCACTTGCTGCTCGTCGGCTATGATGGCAATAGCCTCCATTAGCTCACGCGTGTCCACAGGCATATTTGGGCGCTCAAATCGTCCGAAATTTTGTTGAGTATTTTACTTGGATGCAACACGCGTTAATTTCGCGACGTTACCGTTATTTGCGCAGTTATTTTACCGAATAAAATTACTTATAAATTTTAAAAGATAACACCGTTTTATCACAATTTGTCTATGTATATGTTTACGTTTATGGAAAGAGTACATACGTGTGTTTTCCAATTTTCAATTCTTGTTTGTGCTGTGCGAACAGCTGTTGGCTGGTTAGTCACTTGCCAGTGTTCGAAAATTGCAAAACAGAATTTTAATCTTGAATTTGGTGTCACACTGGCCGGTTCACAGTGGAACGCGTTTATAAACTGTTGACTGCGCGTCGTCGTGTACACCAAATATTTGTCGTCGCTCTTGTTATTGTTGCACTCCATTAATACAAATTTAGTGGATGTTTTATCATATTTAGCTCGTAAATATAACTATTGACACGGCTCTTGCAAACTTCATGTCAATGGCAAACCCCAAAATTCGGTAGTGTTCGAAATATGCGCAGATCGTTTAACCATAAACTGATGTTCAAACATGTAAACTCATATATAAAAGAGTCTGGTTTTTTATTATTTTAATGAGAAACGTGAAGCTTTGACCGTCGCCAGGGAATTGCATCTGTTGCTCAACGAACAACAGCAACAACAACCCACCGATGCGACAAGCGGCAATGTTTTCATGCCAAAATGTAAGTTCAATGCGCATACACCTACATATGTATGTATGTATGCATGTAAATACATATGTACGTAATAAATTCCAAGCACTTATCACAACAACAACCACAAAGACACGAACAATAAAAGCGAAACTGCTCGACGCCTTATATTTATTTATAGCACACATTTATGTATGCATACATTTCTATTCCCATTATAATAACAATTTCTTGCCAAACAAGAGCCAATTCATTTATTGAACTTTTATTGTTGCTAATTCCATGGCAAATGCGCTAATACGTTAATTAATTGCCAAATTAGCGCAATGCTGTCATTTGCAATTGAGCAGTAAGACGCTAAAAAGAAGAAGAGAACATACAGACACCCAATCAACACACACACACACACATACGCACACTAGTAATTGATAAAGGCGCCCCAGTTCCAACTGACTTCCAGTCCCCAACGCCAAGAATGATAAATAAAAAGGAATAACCAAACACAATGCACGACGCCCAACGTCCATGGCGCCTTGGGCGCGGCAACCGCAGGGCCAGCCTGTGGCAGCGGGCCAAGCCTTATCAAATTACGGGCGCGCTAATTGATTGTGTAAACAGAAGATAAAGGCTGCCAGCTGTGGTCGTTGACAATATTTGCTGGCATAACATTCTTGAGTAGTTGTTAGTTTACAGAACCAGTTGGCTTTAATGTGTGGCATATATTTGCAGTGCACGCTGCCTTTGCTGCTGCTGCTGCTGCTGTCTGGACACGCATGCGCACGCCCAGAGCAGTTATTGCTGCCGGCATCTGCTACGGAGCAGGCCCAATCCCTGCCAGTGGCAGGCGAGAACACATCCACGCCATCACCAGCTGCTGCCCCTGAGCTCAAGCGACCGCCGCCAGCTGATGGAACAGTCAGCACAACAGCCTCCCCGGCAGCCGCTGCTGAGCCGCAGAAGCCACAACTGCCGGTGCAGGCAGCTGCAGACACCGGAAGCGAGTCTGCAGGCGGACCAGGTGCGGAAGCAGCCACTCAGCCCGCCATTATCAACGTGCCGATCACGACATCACGCGCTGCAGCGCCCGAACTACCTGAATATCTGAAGAATTGCTTCTATGCCGAGGAAGAGTTATGCCTTAATTGGCATCGTCAAGATATTGGCAGTGACGATGCCGGCGTCGGCAATGGCGCAGCTGCAGAGAGCAGCAACAACAACGGCCAGGCAGAGCCCACCGATGCGCTCTCTTCAAATAGCTCCAACTCATCCAGCCTGACTCCTCATGGCAATGGCAGTCAGGGGCCACCTAGTCACCCAAATCCCCAGAGTCGTGACATAAATAGCTGCCCATGTCGGGCGCATCCAGTGCGTGCTAATTCCTGGTACTGTTGCAACATAACGCAAATCACGATGATCTCAAGCTGTAGCAACATACTCAACTGGACAAATCTGCATGTACGCAACCTCAGCGCGCCGTTAATGGATTTGTCCAACTCCATTTATCGGTCGCTCCAATCGCTCGCCGTCACCGACGGCAATATCAGTCAACTTATCAATGGCTTCCCGCGCCACAGCTCGCTCAAGTGCCTCAACATATCCAATAATAATATTGAGGAAATTGAATCGAGGGCCATCAAGGATGTGCCACATTTGGAGTTCTTCGGTATTGCTCAGAACAATTTATCGCGTGTGCCGCATCGCAATCAAAACAAAAACATTGCCCTAGACATTAGGTGAGTGAAATGGTTTCCTTTAATAGAATTTTTATCTTGATTTAGACTAATTGCCAATAAACTTACATATTTCAGCGGCAACCAAGGCCTGCTCTGTGAACCCCTCAACGAGGTCATCTACAGCGACTCCTTTAACTTTGTCAATCCCGAGAACTCGTTCTGTCTGTACAATGCCACGCATAAGTGGTTCAACTCCACGGATTACATGTCCATTAAGCAGCTGGAGCGAAACAAACAGTGCGGTACCAAATGCCCGGTAATACCCAACTTTGGAAACTGCACCTGCAAGTCTGAGAGGATTATGATCGTGCAGGGAGATCAATCGAAGCCCATTTGTCATGTGGACTGTTCGAATTTGGGTCTAGTGGAGCTGCCGGCCAAGCTGCCGGACAACACATTCACCCTGAACATAACTAACAACAAGATCAGAAGTCTGGGCGATCACTTCCACACAAATCCCACATATCATAACATTGCCAAATTGATGGCAGACAACAATCAGATCTCGTCGATATACGAGTTCGAGGGCACCAAGTTCCTTGAGCACTTTCAGCGTATCTACATGAGGAATAATTCTCTGAGCAAGGTCAGTATGCAAGACGTATTTTTCGTTTATTTTTCTGCTCGAAAGTTCCGAGAAATATGTATATTGTCTCGCAATATGGAGCGAATAATTCGTGTTTAGTAATGCCAATTTTAGTTTCATAATCATGAATATTCACTTTTTTGAGATATTTTAAGCAAATAATATGCTAAAAAGTTATGTATCGTGTTTAAAAATAAGGGAAACTACTTTTTTGTTATCGGTTTAATATTCTATTCAAGCCAAGTGTTGAACGGAGAAACAAATAATTGAAGCTATTACGAGGTGAAAAGAATCGATCATATACATACATACATTTGTATTGGCATAAAAATAAGCATACTTTTTATTTATAGTATCGGTCTATTAAAATATTTGTAACTGTTCACAGATTCCTGAATATTTTTGTTTCATAATCACACAATTCTTTTAAGCATGAATATTGACTTTATTGAGATATTTTAAACAAATAACAAGCTAAGAAGTTAAGTAGCGTGTCAAAAAATAATGGAAACCACTTTTTTGCTATAGATTTAATATTCCATTCAACAAGTGTTGAAGCCGAAAAGAATTGATCATATGTATATTGTCATAACAATAAGCATTCTATTATATTTGTAGTATCGGTCTATTAAAATATTTGTATTTGTTTACAGATTCCTGAATATTTTTTAAACAATGCGCTAATGGACACCGATATTGGACGTCGCATCTATTTAGGCGGTAATCGGCTGCAATGCGATTGCAACTCGGCCAAGACGCTGCAGAACTGGCTAAAGGAGCGCAGCACTGACATACCAGACTATATGGAGATACGCTGTCGCAACCTACCCCAGAGTGTCATTGAGTTGCAGGAGACGAAGCTGTGCCAATCGCCGCCAGACTGGACCGACTATATTTATTATCTGATTGCGGCCGAGGTCTTCCTTCTGCTGGCATTGATCACCAAAGTGTCATACGATTATTGGGTGTTCAAGACAGCTGGCTATCTGCCTTGGCCGGCCAGCAAGATGCCCAAACTTCCTTGTGACTGGCTGTGCGAGTCCTAGGCGAGCAACCATATGCGCTTGATAGCGAGTAATACATGTGCCTTCTATATACCCCAAGCTCTAGTGTTACGACACTTGTCTAAAATGTCGCTTGAATAGGATATTTATAGGTTATTTTCACTGTTAACACTCCTAACACTTTATTTAACGCTTAAGTCTGCTCGAAAACTAAAAGTTCTTTAGGTCTTTTCCAAACACACAGAAGATACGTTGAAAGTGCAATAGCAGCTAAATGATATAGTTGGCCGATCTATGTCTAATCGTTTTGACAGCATTAGGTATAATAAATGAATTTATATATACCCAATAATATCAAATATCTTGAACAACAAATCGTGTTTTCATGCAAAGACTCTGTTTTAAACTCATTAAAGCAGCCCGATTAAGTTGGTTCTGACTAGTTTCAGCTTTAAATGGAGTATTGATGAATTGACATGATCATTACATTTGGCCTTCTTGGCCTAAGTATAGGCTCATGCAAAGGCCTCTGCCATATCTATCTATTCTGATCATATTGAATCGTCTCTTTGTGCGGACTGCCATACTTTATTCTAAACAGCTTCTCACTTAAGTTACGAACATTATAGAAGCACAGACTTCACAGTTCCACTATCATTATTTTATAAGTGGTTCGGTTTGGTTTGGGGATCATCCACCAATTTGTGCGAAATTTTGATATTCCTCATATTCAGTTTAAAATAAACATATGTATAACATATCCGTAAAAACCAGTTCTGAAAATTGTATGTATTGTGAAGAAGAAGAAATTTGTCATGCTATGATTGAATATTGGTTTTTAAAACTACATTATGAACTGAAATAAAGCTTTCCAACCAATTAAATAAACTGCTGTACATTAAAACATTTATTAAGAATTTTCAGAATTGGGAGAACGCCTGATAATATTTAATTGAAAAACAAGTGTCTTACCACCATTAGGATACAATATGTTGCTTTATAAGATATAACAAGTGTATCATTTTTTTTAACAACTTTTTTTTATGCGTATGTATCGTAATAAATGGAAATGCCAAACTAATTCATTTCAGCGTTTTTAATATGAGAGGTCTTGATTTACATTGACATTTAATTTTTTATTTAAAATATTTTTAACTTCTTTTTAGGTAACAAATTCTTTTTTACAGCCTTTCAAAAAATGTTTCAGCTATGTCGAGAATAGGCCATGCACATTTTTAAAATTATTCAAAATCATTAAAAAAGGATTTTAAAACATTTAGTTCATAATTTTCGCTTAATTTTTAATAGTTTACATATGAACACACCCTCCATAGAGAAAGTTACTATGCTGTTGCTTTTCCATTTGAATTATGAAGGGAGCGCGCGCAAGGACGCCAAACTCACAGCTGGCAGTGCTGGCAATAAAACAAGGCATTGCCACACCAAAATGAGGATGATTGCGGGCCAATTATTGGCTGGCCATCCCCCAGACGACACTGTCTGAGTCTGCCACAATGGAGGAACGCGCCCTCATAGCGAACATTGCGACAATTATAACCAAGGACATGCTCATCGATGGAGCGCACAAACGCGCTAATGCTGGCATTGACCTTATGGCCGCTCCAAGCTGCTATCCACTGTTGGCGCCCAATGACGATGACGAGGCCGAAGCCTTTGCGCTAATGCAGCAACAACAACGGGCTGCGCCATCAACAACCATGAAGAACAAGAAGCTGAAGAGACGATCTATGCCGGCCGCAAGGCAGCGGAAATTACCGAAGCTGCAATGGAAATACGCAGAACTGAACTTGCTACACCGCTACGTAGATGCCGAGTTCGAGTCATATTTGCATATTCGGAAGCTCACTTTTCTGGTAAGTGGACGTACACTGTGACCAACTCCCAATGTTGCAATGCATCTTGACCATTTACAGAGAATCCAACAAACGCTGGAGGAGACGCTGCAGAGGAATGCGTTGCCGGGCGCACCCACACCACAAACGACACTGTCGCTATCTATGTGGAAACTGGCCACCGACGAGCACTTCGAGGAGATTGCCCGGAAGTTTCAGCTGCCATGGTCGCTGTGCCAGCAGGTGGTGCGCAGCTTTTGGCACATCATATCCGACAACTACGAGAGCTTTATTAAGTGGCCCAACTCGTTGGCGGCACAGCAGAGCACGCTGCAGGGCTTCCAGCAATTTCCACAGCTGCGCTGCTTTCAGCAGCTCTTTGGCGTGATTGCGCTCAAGCGGCTGGATATGTTCTTGGAATGCGAGCACGCTGAAGTGGCTGTTGTGCTGCAGTTGATATGCAATGCAGAGGATAAAATCATAGACTGCTACGTGGAGCTGGCGCAGGACTACAGCTTCGAGGAGTCGCCCATAGGGCAGACGCTGGCGCTAAATGCGCGGACCATGCCCGCGGGCTCCTATCTCATCGGCAGCAGCGCCTTTCCGCTGAAATCCTATCTGATTCGGCCCATTGAGGCAGAGTGCTTTCGCAAGGATGCCGTGTTCAATGGCCTTCTGGAACCGGCCTTCCGATTGGCCGAACGCGTCCTTGATGCACTGGCGCGTCGTTTCAACGCTCTCTACGCCCTGGAAGCGCGCGACCTGAACGAGGTCCGTCTGATTGTGGAGAGTATTTGTGCGATGCACAATCTCTGTTTGGAATTCAGTGACGATTACTTAGAGCAGCAGTCGAGTGAAGCACCGGAGGATCAGAAATTCAGCTGGGGAAGTATTGTCAAGGAGTTCAAGGGTAGCGAAAAGGATGCTAAGGGCGTGCGACGACGTGTAGAACTGCTGGATGCATTGGTAGCCTTAGAAGAGGGAGACTGAGTAACAACAAATAAATATTTAATGACAAAAATTCTCTTTTTTTCTCATTTTCGAATGCAGTACCGAAATTGGTAATATTTACGAATTCCAACCAATTTATAACCTTATGAGCGTTATGATTGAAATATTAGACATACTTATATACATATGTATGTATGTTCATGTATGTGGCAGGTCTGGTTCAAATATGGAATCACGATCTGCTTGTTTTGAAATATGAACTGAATTACATCTCCATATTATCAATTATAAAACTAAGCCCAACTAAATAATTAATCTCTGTAAGATCATATGTATATAATATATACATATGTATTATATGTGCAGCCGTTGGTGAAAAAACTTGGGAAACAACAAAAAACTGTGCATCAATCAGGTTTATTTCTTTTTCAATCGGCGTTCAAGCAATCCGTAAACCCTCATGGACGCTATCTTAACACAGTTGTGCGCCGCTTACCAACACTGAAACCTAAACTCTTTGGGCCAACAAAACAAATGCACGTGCGAGTGGAAATTCAAAATATCTTTCTGTGTTAGATTAGTAAACAATAGCAACAAAATGGATGTGCATGATGTTTTTAGACAACTAACCGCAGGTGTACGCTTCAGCAGAAAACGTCAAGTATGTAGTAAATGGAGTCGTTAAAGTGGAAACAATAAAACTAATAATAGGCTTGCATTTACAGGTGCCGGTAAATAACCAACAGCTAAAGAATCCTTTATCAAACGCTGTAGAAAAGCCAAAGAAAGAGGAGCCGGAGAAAAAGCGCATTAAGGTTGAGGAAGAAGATGTGGAGGCACCAGCAGTTGATTTCCGCCTACTGGATGGCGACGAAAGCGTCATACAGCCCAAGCTTAAGAAACCGAAAAAGCAAAAGGAAGGCACTGCGGCAGAGCAGGAGGAACAGCGCCAGGAGGAGCAAAACAATATCTTTCGAAAACAACACAATATCAGCGTGTTGGGGAAGCATGTACCGGCGCCAATTGAAAGCTTTTCCGAGCTTAGTAGCGAACCGTATAAGCTGCTGCCGCGCCTTCTGCAAAATCTGCTAAACTATGGGTTTGCAGAGCCCACGCCTATACAAATGCAGGCCTTGCCGGTGCTGCTGGCGAACCGACCCCTGATGGCCTGCGCTCCCACTGGCTCTGGTAAAACACTGGCTTTCCTCACACCCATTATCAACGGCCTGCGTACACACAAGACGAGCGGATTGCGAGCTCTCGTGCTGGCGCCCACACGGGAATTGGCCCAACAAATCTATCGTGAGTGTGTGGAGTTGACGCGTGAAACAGGTCTGCGAACGCACTTCATCAGCAAGGTGAGCGAGGCGCGTCATCACTACGGACCTGAGTGCAAACAGAAGTACGATATTCTGGTATCGACGCCGAACCGGGTGCGTTTCTTGCTCCAACAACAACCGCCACTTCTGGACTTGAAAAGGTAAGCGATGACTATTCCCCACCTAGCCCTCCTTGCTTAATATCTTGCCCGTTTGATGACAGGATCGAGTGGTTTGTGTTGGACGAAGCTGATCGATTAATGGAGGAGGGCCAGAACAACTTCAAGGAGCAGCTAGACGACATATATGGCTCGTGTACCCATCCACAGAAGCGTGTGGCGTTCTTCAGTGCAACCTACACGGTGCCTGTCGCGAAGTGGGCGCTGCGGAATCTAAAGAATCTGGTGCGTGTGACAATTGGTGTCCAAAACAGTGCCACCGATACGGTGGCCCAAGAGCTACTCTTTGTTGGCTCAGAGAGTGGCAAACTAGTAGCGATGCGCGAACTGGTGCGGCAAGGCTTGCACCCGCCGGTGCTGGTGTTTGTACAAAGCAAGGATCGGGCCAAGCAACTATTCGAAGAGTTGCTCTACGATGGCATCAATGTGGACGTAATCCACGCGGAACGCACGCAACATCAGCGCGACAATTGTGTGCGCGCTTTTCGCGAGGGCAACATCTGGGTGCTTATATGTACAGAGCTGATGGGTCGCGGCATCGACTTCAAGGGCGTCAATCTGGTCATTAACTACGATTTTCCACCAACGACCATATCCTACATACATCGCATTGGGCGCACGGGGCGAGCAGGTCGCCCAGGACGAGCCATAACCTTTTTCACACAGGACGACACGCCAAACTTGCGCAGGTAAGCTATAAATTGGTATTCCACTTACATGCTCACTCACTCCTATTGGCCTCTGTAGCATTGCACAGATCATTAGAAACTCTGGCGGAACTGTGCCGGAGTACATGCTGCAGATGAAGAAGGTGCGCAAGTCCGAGGCCAAGCTTCGTGCCAAGAAGCCGCTGGATCGTGATGATATCAGCACAAAAATACGCCCCGAAAAACTAAATGGCGAATCAGGGAAGTCGTCCAAGAGCTCAAACGAACCAGGAAAATTTGTAAGGCCTCTAAAAACTGAAAAGGCGAAGAAGCCCAAGAAACATGGCACAGATAAAGCAACTAAAACAAAACCGAAAAAGCTTCCAAAAAAACAGATCGGCAAAAGCAAACTGGTCTCCAATGGCAAGAAGAAGGTAGTGAAGGCCAAACGATCTAAAGTGTAGTGTGTGAACTACTTAGACTATAATTATAATGACCACGAGCCTTTGTTAATATATAAAAATAATTTTAAATATATTACGTTACAAAAAAAACCAAATACTTGTACTTCAGAATAAAAACAACCAGTAAAGGAAACCAAGGAACTTAACTATTCTGCATGCGTGTCTTAAATGTGTAGAAACACTTCATTCCATTAGAAGATAAATAAGAATACTTTTTTCAAAGTATTCTAAGTTGAATAATTTATATTTTCTGTGCTGATTTTTATCCATTCAATTATTAAATTCCGCTCAAATATTAAATAGTCTTATAAAATATATATTTCATGAAAGTCTTGCTTTCATTTCAGTCTATTTGCGAGCAGAATCTTGTTTTTTAAAACATGTTACGAGTTTCCCTTTAAGCTATCAGGTGTTGTAATTGAACACATTTTTATCAATTTTGTATCCGAAATATCCCAAACTGTTTAAGAAATACTACATGAGTATAGGTTGCACTTTTTTAGGGTGATTTCAATTTCTAGAATGTAAAAAAGAATCAAATATTCGAAAAGGAAAGCTACATTTAACAGCATGAATGATGATGAAGTCAAAACTATGCACCGAACACAAATTATTGTTAAAGAAAATTGCAGATCTTTTTAAACATAGTTTAGCAAAGAATATCCATATCTACAAGATGATCGTGATCCGTAATCAGACATATAGGCTATGCAATTCCATTTAGAATATCAAGTCCTCGATATTAAAATAGTGATGATAATCCATCTAAGACCTCTATTTAGATGTGTTAACTCACTCCAGAAAAGTTTCGAATTGGTTACCGAGATAGCCCTATAATTCTTGGAATTTATCTATAGAAACGTTTTGTGTTTAAATTTAAACGCTTTTTGGAAATGATTTTAAGTTTTGAAGTTCAGTAATAACAGATAAAGAAGCAAAATATGTGCACATTCCCTTCCAAAGATGCTTACCGCGTTATAAAGAAACAAACATATGGACCGATCTGGCTCACACAAATATCCAATTAGTATACATGTAAGTGCTCCCAATAAGAACATATATATTTGGTATAGCTTTAAGATTAATATTCAATTTAAAAATTTAGTTATAATCGATGGAATATACATCTGGATGATCTGCCTGCTCCAGCTTAACATCGAATATGTAGAGTAGGAAGCACCAAGTCGGTCCCATAAGATATCGCCTTCTCAGCCTGAAAATGTGTTTTAGAGCAAACTCTTTAGTTACATACAATACGCATATCTCAAAATATGTTCTCTTTATTAGCCGATGCAGGTTATACAGATCCACATACTCCTATACATTTATATAAGTGGTATATATACATACATGCTTATGTGTTTTATTTATAAAGAGTATATGTGTATGTGTCATATGTTTGCTTTATTACTTTTAGTTACTAACATTATTTGTCCGTTTCCTGTTGCAAATAAATATTACACGTAATTATTAAAATAAATACTTTTCGTTTATCAGTTAATATATAGGTTTATATATATTATATATACTCGTTTATATACACATCTAGCTTTTCTAGGTACTGAAGTTGTTAAAATTGAATACAAAAAACAAGTGCAAAGAATATCGCTTATTGTAAAAAAGAGCGAGAAAGGCGCTGTCCAAACGCCAAAATGGGAGAGAGATATATGTATATATATAGAGAGAGAGAGAGAGACAGAGAATCAAATTTAGATAGAGATTCGGAATTGTAAAGGAATTCGAATTGAAGTACATACGTGGAGATCCTTAAGTAATCAATTACATAAATATGCATAAGTAAAAATAAATAAAAACCAATCGATATAATCAAATAAAATTGCACTAAACGGAATGTTCTATACAGAATGTTAAAAGATTTAGCTAAAAACAATTGAAACCCGTGCGGGTTAGACCAAAACATAAAAGATACAATTAATTAACATACATAACATTAGTTGGTTTTATAAATTGTGTTGGGTAGGAGCTCCTGTCGTGGGTTCGTATGGGATGGAAACTATGTGGGGAGGTTATTTCGTAAGCCTGGGGGGCGGGAGAAGGTCAGGGACCGTGTGGTGCATGCCTAAATGACGTTGCTCAGATTCGAGGTGGACGATCCGGTGTTGTGAGCTGATGTGGGACCGTGTTGCATTGCATTATTGCAGTCGTCTAATAGCTGTAAGAGCTTCTGCTTTGTGCGCTTGTCACTACCACAGATGCAGTTTATGAGATTCGTTAATTGCTTAACAGAATACAGTTCGCCATGGCGCTGTTCCTTGATCCATTGCTCGAACTGCTCGGCGGAGAAATAATAGGTTTTGACAAAGACATCCACATAGGCGCCATATTGTGGAAACTTCTGGTTGGATATTAGTTCTAGGAATGACATGAAGTTCGCAAAATCCAATTGCATGAGCGCCCGTCCGCCGGCCGAACATTTTTTCACATTGGAGAAGCTGAAAATGAAGCAGGACAGGCACAAATGAATCATGAAGATGTTGATCATAGGTTTCGCTGAAAGGTTCTACTTCTGGTTCCTTTATCGAAAGGGGAATACTTTAGTCCATCACTAATGGCATAGATTGGTTTTAAACTCTCAGGTATACAAGTATGTATATGCAAACATTTTGTCAGAGCGATAGAATTTCGGAAAGGGGACACCAATATTAACATTTATACAATACTTTGAAATCATATGTGAACTAAAAATATGGTTACACCAGATTTTGCTTATCACTTTGTACTGAGAACAACGCGTTTTATGTTCCTTACCCCTCAACAAGCAAATGCGTAGCTACATGGGCCATCGAGTTCCAGACGTGTGTGTTGGGTATGGGCACCTCTTTGGCTATTTCCTCTAGGCGCATGGCAAAATTCTGTATATTCTGTAGGGGACATTGAAGTGAAACTTTGTTTATAATCACACATATGTATTAGATGTGGACTTACGCGATTCATAACATCACTGTAGCTGCTGTGCTGATGTATCACATGATTCACATCCCATTTGACCTTAGCCATCTGAGCGAGCACTGCTGACAAATCGATTATGTGCGAAGTGACGCATATGTAAACGGGTTTGGCCACATCCGCCATGAAATCTTCGTATTCGAGATAGCTGGCCAGCATTGGACGCTCGTTCGTTGGCAGCAAATGATTTAAATAGTGCTTCAACGTCTGAAACTGCTGAAGCATGCTTTGGCCGGCCTCCACGGCAACAATGCGCTGTTGCAAGCCGTACAGGGTGTCCGGATTAGCCAGCTCATTGTTGGCCTGCAAAGGAAAGACAGGTAGCATGCACACTCTCTTAGTTATACCCACATTAATATTACTCTATTATCAGTTAAAACTCATAAAAATAAGAACATAAGTTAGCTTTGAATCTGTGCTCCAGAAATGTCCAAACATACCCGTGATTTGATTAAAAATCGAGTATATGTTGTATCATTTGACTCATCCATAAAAATATGTATATTATATCTGGAGACAAAGCTCCATTGAAGCAGTTGGGAAACGTGTTGTGAACGTTAAATACCAAGTAGGTGGTCTACTCACCAGCGATGAAAAGTTGAGGGGCCACATCTTGATTTGTTTTAAAACATTTTTCTCTACGGCACGAAATCGCTGCTCCAAACGGGGCGTGTATAAGCTGCCAATGGGCACAATCTGAAAAGGGTGAAATGTTTGGATGTGGCTTGTTATGCAAAATAGCTATAAGGCTTACAGCATCCTTCGCAAAAATATCGTGCACGGCATAGGCGTAGAAGTCGAGCAGCTCCAACATGGACGCGATTATCTTGGGCGAGATGCAGTGCAGCAGTTTGCACATTTGCAAATAGCGGCCAATGCAGCGGAGGACATTGAGGGCCGTGTTGTTCACCAGCAGTTGGCTGGAGTCGTCAAATTCCTTGCTCTGCAGACTCTTTTGTTCTTCGTCGCTCTCCTCACTAAAGTAGCATGATGCTTCGTCAACAATGCCAGATAGAATGTCCTCTTCGAGCATGGCCGGATCCAAGCCGCCATCAAAGGGCGAACTCTTCTCGGAGAAACGCAAAAAGTAACCATAGGAACCATAGATAGAGCTGCCACCTTCCTGTGAGTGCACAGAGACCAGTTCGTCGCAGTTATTGTTACTAATCGGCGAGTTGTTTGCCGAGCTGGACGATGCGAGCAGTGCCACTGGCGGCGACTTGTGGCGACGCAACGTGTGGCGCACTGAACGGAACTCCTGTAATGAGATTAGGATGCATAGACAGTCGTTTTAATCACAACATTTCTTTCAATAGCTGACACCTACCGGTAGCTGCAAAATGTGTGCAAACGAATCGACAGCAGTCCAGGATTCGTTGTCCAGAAAAAGACAAATTTCCTCTACGCATGAGATGTGATAGCGTCGAAAGAACTCTTCGCTCTCCTGCTGCATAGTCTCGATTAGTTTCTCCGACTGCTCTCCGCAGAACTCAATGCCCACCTTTTTCAGGCGTTGAACAATTGACAGCACCTGTATGAACTGGTCATACTTGAGCGTCATCAGGTGAGCACTCTGCAAGAAGATGCAGACTTTCGTCAGTATATCGTTCCATATACGCGACTGGCCCTTTTTCAGCTTTTCCTGTATGTACAAGTCAGGGGACTCGGCTTCGCTTGGATATAATTTGTAGTTGTTGTGCCACATTACAACCTGATAGTACGATGCCAGTATGGTCCAGAATGTCTTACATAAGCTAATCAAACAAGGAATGCTCTTGTCCGCGGTCAGCTGACAGCACATCTGTTCGTACAGCAACTTGACATGCTCATCCGCATGCGGATCGTTGTAGCCACGAAGTACGGCATTCACCGAGGAGTGTATGGCCGAAATGTAGTTGATGTGAAGCTGATCCATGGCGATAAGCGACTTGTTAAGCAGCTTGTAGGACTCCTGCAGCTTGGCATACTTGCGCATGTCAAAATTCAACACCATTTCGTTGAGGACCGTGTCCAGCTGAAACTCCATGAGCATCATGGTTTCCTGCAGCTTTTTGTGCAGCGACTGAACACATGTGTACTCCAGGAACTCCTCGGCCGAGCTCTTGCACTGAAGTAGCAGCGCGATGGCGCCAGAATAGTTGTGCTCCACAAGCAGCTTCTGTACCTCGACATCCGTGGTGTGCTGTTAAAGAATTTGAGAAATAAAGCCGATGCCGATGCTGCTGATTTAACATACATGCACTCACCAGCTTCTTGATGGCGCACAGCGTGTCGAGCACATCCTTGAGCACTTCTCGCTTGCGATAGGATGCGAGAATTTCAAGGCTGGTCGTTGTCAGATTCGTGCGCGCGTAATTTAGATAGGAGCGCGCTTTTTGGCAGGTCCACAGTGACTCCTCCAATTTCTTTTGTGTGTCATTGATGGCAACGAACTCGTTGCTACATGCATTCCGTTGCTCCAGTATATTTTGCAGCACCTGTTTGTTCAGAACTTTCTGCTGTGTGCGTAACTGTGATATAGTCCTTTCGATAAGTTCGTAGTCGACGCCAGCACTAAGCACCTTCTACAAGCACACATTTATTAACGCCTCACATTTATGCAGTGTCCCGACAATCACACTCACCTTCAGTTCGTACAGCTGGGGATTTCTATCAGACATATAGTAACATGGCTCAATGCTTTCCAATATTTCCTGGTCGGATTTTTGTGCATGCGCTGATCCTGGGTCTCCTGCAGTTGGGTCATCGCTATCATTAATGACTGTTGATGGCGCTGTGGCAGTTGCGGCTACGGCTGTAGCAGATAAGGTATCGGCTGTGACAGTTTGTATGAAATAGTCGGAAAATCCCATAGCTGGAATTTTCATTTGTCGGTTCGTCTGTGGGCGCGCGTGTATGTGTGTGTGCGCATGTGTGTGGGATAGAAATTTGTTAGTTGCAGTTCCTGTTCCTGCTTTATTTTTGTTGCTGTAGATCAGCAAGTTCGAACTTACCTGTTTGTGCAGCAGGTCCATAAATTTTGTTTTGAACTCGTCCATTTTGGCCTTGGAGTTCTGCATTTTAAGGCCATGAACGTTATTCGAAGTAATGTGTAAGAAAATACACTTCGAGATATTGTTCACTCCCTCTGCTATTGCTGCTGGCACAATGATTTCTGCCAACTGGATGGCAACGCTCTGTTTGGCAGCCGTGCATGACCTATGGCCATTACTCAACACTGTATTGCAATAACAAGCATGAGCAAAAGAAGGGGAATAGGCCATATTTGTTGAAGTGCAATATTTTATTGCCAATAAGAATTAATATAGTTTAATTTCTAGTTCTGCTTATCACCGTCGTCACATTGTTTTGTTATGTTTGCAACTGCATGTGAGTGTGGCAGCTGCTATCTGTGTGAATTATGCGTGTGTGCATGGTGTCGGACTTTTTCTATCCCAGCATCGGTGGCGTCGAGGAGCATGTTTACAATCTCTCACAGATGCTTTTATCACATGGCCACAAAGTAGGCAGTCCGCAGTCCTTTGTTTTGGTTAGCTAAAATGAAATTTTTGCTCAATATTTACAGGTCATCGTGCTGACACACGCCTACGGCGACTGCAGCGGCGTACGGTACTTGACGCACGGCCTTAAAGTCTACTATCTGCCCATTAAGGTGTGCTACAACCAATGTATTTTGCCCACGGCCGTCTGTAATGTGCCGTTGTTGCGGGCAGTGCTTCTACGGGAGCGCATTGAAGTGGTGCACGGCCACTCGGCGTTCAGTGCCCTAGCGCACGAGGCCATTATGGTTGGCGCTTTGCTGGGCCTAAAGGTGAGTGGATAGCCCACCGAAGGCGATTCATATGTGTACTAATCGTGCGCCTTTGCAGACTGTATTTACGGATCACAGCCTTTTTGGTTTTGCCGACCTGTCCGCAACTCTTACCAATAGGATGCTGGAGATAAACCTGAGTATGGTCAATCACTGCATCTGTGTGTCACACATCGGCAAAGAAAATACCGTCCTGCGTGCCCGTGTGTCCAAACATCGCGTCTCTGTCATACCCAATGCAGTGGACACTGCACTTTTCACGCCAGATCCCTCTCAGCGACCAACCAACGGCACAAGTATGTTAATAGCCAACAGCATGCATTTCTAAGAACTCTAAACTCCAACTCTCTCATGATTTCGCAGTCAATATTGTTGTGGCCTCGCGCTTAGTATATCGCAAGGGTATTGATTTACTGGCCGGCGTTATACCGCGCTTCAAACATACGCCCAACATTAATTTCATCATTGTCGGCGATGGGCCGAAGCGTGATCTGCTTGAGGAAATACGCGAGAAAACAAACATGCAGCATCGCGTCGAAATTGTGGGCGCTGTTGACCATGCCAAGGTGCGAGATGTGCTCGTGCGTGGCCACATTTTTGTGAACACCTCGCTAACGGAGGCCTACTGCATGGCCATTGTAGAGGCGGCCGCGTGTGGGCTTCAGGTCGTGTCGACAAGCGTGGGCGGCATACCAGAGGTGCTGCCCAAGCATTTAATATTGCTCGTTGAGCCCGAAATCGATGCCATACATCAAGCTGTGCTGGTGGCCATTGAGCGCCATCGGCAAACTGTCACTGCCACATCATTGCATGCAAATGACATTGCCTCTGCTGTTTCTGCCAATGGACACATTCCGACCAATGGGCAGCCAAACTCTTCAGCAGGTCGCGTACGCGGAAAACGAAAGGGACGCAAGCTGCTAAAAGCACCGGTGCCTGTGCCAGCGTCGTCGCCAGATGCTCCCACAACTGTCGTGATGCGCGGAGCAGCTGCCGACGAGGACAGTCAAGTAGAGCCGGTGCTCTGTCCGTATCGTTGCAACGAAATCGTGGGCACGCTCTACAACTGGGACGACGTGGCCTTGCGCACCGTCAAAGTGTATGAACGCATAGCGGGCGAGCCCAGTTGGACGCTGGGCCAAATACTGTGCGTTGTAAATAAGTGTGGCGCCTGGTTTCTGGTCTTCGTAGTGATCGCACACATGTTGCTCCAACTACTGGAGCGCTGGCGTCCTTTGCGACATATGGAGATGGCTGTTGAGGTACGCGACCGAGCTTCTTCGCCACGCCGCTTCTAGCAAATAATCAGTTTATTTATACATACATACATATATTTATGAAAAAGTACTATTTATATTGCTGCAAACTACACGAATTGCTTCTGCTCGCCGCAACATGGAATTCTAACTCAATAATAGCAATAAGCATCCTTTCATTCCTTGCCTTCTGGATGCATAAGGATTGTGGAACAGGATTTGTAACCTGGCGCAGCCTCGCAGTTGTTGGCCCGTTCTTCCAAATAATGTATTTAGTCAATTAAATAAATATTTACTCATTGAAAAAATTAGGTGTTTTAAACTCCTTCATCATTGTTTTATAATTAGTTGTGCGTGATTTGTATTAACCTTGTGTTATACATATTTCAAGCAAAGAGTGAAACTACAATTATAAAATATGTATATATTTAATATACATATATCATACAAGTCATGGTATATAGCATACAGAACTGGCTTATTTATCCATCCATTTCTTGACTATGTCCACGGGGAATGGAAACACGTACGAGCGCGTCTCATTATTGGATATGGTGTTGAGCGTCTGAAGATATCGCAGCTGTGGACGATTCCAAGACTGTTGAAGCATTGGGCAACAAGTTGCGCTTCACATTAGCTCACCTGTAGTGCTATGGGATTCGTCATCATTATATCGGCGGCTTCCCGGAGCGACTTGACCGCGTCACGCTCGCCCTCGGCTGCCGCTACCTTCGCCCTTGCCTCGCGAGCCGCTTCCTGCTCTACGGCCATGGCCCGTTGCAACTGCGCCGGCATGTAAATCTCCTTTCTGGAATTCCGAATCGGACAGTAGTAGTCAGCACCCTATTAGCTATTATAATTAACTTACATCTCGACGCGCTCGACCCGCACCCCCCAGGCTTCGGTAGCCCCGTCCAGTATCCACTCGATCTGCTTAGACAACGACTCCTTTGAGGTGAGCAGCTCCATCAGCATATGCATTCCAGAGACGTTGCGCAGCGTGGTCATGGCCAGCAATCGCGTGGCTTCGCGCGCATTCGCCACCTGGAGAACAGCATCGAGTGGGTTCCTCACACTGTAATAGACAACTGCATCCACCTTGATGGTCACCGAGTCCTTGGTGAGTATCTCCTGCGGCGGCACATCGAATGAGGTGGTTCGCAGATCAACCCTCCGGTATGCATCGATGCAAGGTATTACGAGTACCATGCCGGGACCCCGTGCCCCGCCCTTGCGCAGACGGCCCAACCGCAAGATCACAGCACGCTGGAACTCCTGCAGCACAATTATGTAGAAAAAAAAGCAAAAGGGGACCGTAATGACGAACAGAACGTAAGCGAAGAAACAGACTATCTTCTCGCAGAGCGATGGAGGATCGTTTTCGGCTGTGGACGGAAGTCAGCACATATCGGGACCATCATATGGTCAGCTACTTACTCGTGCGTACGTTCCGCACCCCTTTCTCCGTGTAAACGATCGGGTCCGGAAATGAATCAGATGGCGTGGGGTGCTTTGGCCGTGGTGGTGGAGGTATAGGTGTAGGCTGCTCCGCCAGTGTTTCAGCCGCTTCATTTTCACCTAACTTTTGCTCCTCGGGGGGGTTGGTGTTCATTGCCTTAAATTTTGCATCTACAATCCAAGAAGACTACGAATTTTACACTTTTTAGAATAGTCGGAAATATTCAAATTGTGTAGTATCGAGCAGGAATGCTACGCAGGGCCAGCTTTATAGCCAGCTCAATATCTCTAATCCAAAGCCAAAAACTTACCATCAGACGGAACTATTCTTATCAGTTTGGATGTGATCTCCATTGTTTCGAAAATGTTGTCATCTCGGAAACAAAGGGCTGTGGTTTTCAATGCATTTCATGGATTTTATTTTATAATAAAAAATGAACATATTGTGCTGTCGATACAGATTACTGTAAGATATTTATAATATATTACAATAGAGATAAAGAACAATATTATGTTATAATTTCAACTAGAACAAAAAGAAGCCCCAAAAATAAACTATACAATAATGTCTATGCTTCCGAAAGGTTGGGATTTCATTGATAAAAAAATACTAGAGGAGAATTCTTTACTACTTAAAAGCAAATTAGATAAAGTAAGGAGTAGAAAGAAATAAAGAAAAATCTCCAACCCGGTGGGGGACAAATTTGATTGCCAGTCCGTCAGGCTATGCCGATTACCCCCATCAGAGATTAACCCGGAGATGAGTATAAAGGACAGCTGTTATAGAATAAAGGCGGAGAGAGAGAGTTATTTCCAAAGGAAATGTGAAAGATAATTTGAATTAGAAAAATGCCCTAATTAATCAGTTGTGCATCTAGACAAGATAACTGGTCTACAAGAACATAAAAATTAACTGACAATAAATAAAGAGATAACGAGTTTATGGAGAAAAACTACTTCAAGAACAGTCCTACGAATTGTTAATGAAGGAACAGTCTGCTAGAATACGATGGCAAGCGAAGATTAAGAACAGCTTCTGAACAGACTCAATACGTTCCTGATGCGCTCTATACTCTATACAAGAGCAGTATTCAAGCACCGGGCGTGCTAGAGAAGTGTAAAGCAGTTTAGTGGCAGTTCACTAACTTCCTTGGACAATCGTTTAATGAATCCGAGTACAGCCTTGGATTTATTTATAATGCTAGATATGTGAAGATTGATGTTCAATTTCGAATCGAAAAGAACGTCAAGGTCTTTAACTGTCGATATATGTACATACATGACTAAATGGGGAAACATTCCATGAAAGGTCATGATCTTACATCTAGAGCAGTTCAGATCATGAAAATGAAGAGGGTCTTTGTAAGACAGAATAGAAGTTTATGGCAGTGTGAAAAGGTAGAGGGGAGGTCTTTAATAAATAATAACTGACAACGGATTGAAACATCGTCATTTGTTTCAAGATTAATCGAGGAACTATCTTTCTGCCTGTAGGCATTCACGCGGATCAGCAGATGTAACTATTTTTCTTAGCTTTTTCCGGACAACTGTCAACTTCCCATTATTTCGATCTGTGCATCATCTCGGGAACTTATTTGTGCACTTTATTGGATCGTACCGCTTGCTAAAGCTCATATTTGTGTTTCGCAAATCGCAATATAAATTATAGCTGGCTCTGCTCAGCATCTGTGAGTGATTCGAATTACACATACATATGTCATACACACTCTAAAATTTGTACTCTTCTACGTAACTGCAAAATTCTGGGCCATGAATGCCAAACCCCCCGAGGAGCATCAATTGGATGAAGATGGAGCGATTGAGCCAATACCAGTGAAGCTGCCCCCACCAGTTCATTCCGATTCATTTCCGGACCCGATCGTCTACACGGAGAAAGGGGTGCGGAACGTACGCACGAGTAAGTAGCTGACCATATAGTGGTCAGTGGCCGATTTATGCTGATTTCCGTCCACAGCCGAAAACGATCCTCCATCGCTCTGCGAGAAGATAGTCTGTTTCTTCGCTTACGTTCTGTTCGTCATTACGGTCCCCTTTTGCTTTTTTTTCTACATAATTGTGCTGCAGGAGTTCCAGCGTGCTGTGATCTTGCGGTTGGGTCGTCTGCGCAAGGGCGGGGCACGGGGTCCTGGCATGGTACTCGTAATACCTTGCATCGATGCATACCGGAGGGTTGATCTGCGAACCACCTCATTCGATGTGCCGCCGCAGGAGATACTCACCAAGGACTCGGTGACCATCAAGGTGGATGCAGTTGTCTATTACAGTGTGAGGAACCCACTCGATGCTGTTCTCCAGGTGGCGAATGCGCGCGAAGCCACGCGATTGCTGGCCATGACCACGCTGCGCAACGTCTCTGGAATGCATATGCTGATGGAGCTGCTCACCTCAAAGGAGTCGTTGTCTAAGCAGATCGAGTGGATACTGGACGGGGCTACCGAAGCCTGGGGGGTGCGGGTCGAGCGCGTCGAGATGTAAGTTAATTATAATAGCTAATAGGGTGCTGACTACTACTGTCCGATTCGGAATTCCAGAAAGGAGATTTACATGCCGGCGCAGTTGCAACGGGCCATGGCCGTAGAGCAGGAAGCGGCTCGCGAGGCAAGGGCGAAGGTAGCGGCAGCCGAGGGCGAGCGTGACGCGGTCAAGTCGCTCCGGGAAGCCGCCGATATAATGATGACGAATCCCATAGCACTACAGGTGAGCTAATGTGAAGCGCAACTTGTTGCCCAATGCTTCAACAGTCTTGGAATCGTCCACAGCTGCGATATCTTCAGACGCTCAACACCATATCCAATAATCAAACACGCTCCTACGTATTTCCCTTCCCCGTGGATATCGTCAAGAAATGGATGGGCAAATGAAGGGGCTACAAACATGCATAGCTTCTTCGAAATTTATGATACATATGTATGTATGTATAAGTACTAGCCACTAGCGGAAAATGTTTCTGTGTCTTATTTTGTAAATGAATATTAAAATGCTGGTGGGGCAGACCTCGTCTATGCTTGGGTATCCGCTAGTGCCGGGATGAGTCGCTTGTAGACTTCGATTCCATGTAGATATGTGTCCGCATGCAGCCATTCATTATCGTCGTGCAGGGTTCTTGGCGTATGTTTGATCGGCGAAAATCCGAGAGCCGGAATACCAGCGTTACGAACGTAGCGCACATCAGTAGCGCCCGGAAGAACGAGAGTCTGAAGGCGTTCGCCGCTGGTGAAAGGATTAAATTAAATAATGAAGAGGATTATTAAGAAGTTCACTTACAACTGCTCTAGGGCGCTTTTGAAAGACAGCCAGTATGGATTGCTGTCGTCTATGGCAGTCGCGCCGAATCTAGGATTTTTCACCACAAATTCCACCTCAATGCCGCCTCCCGCCTCCTCGCACCAATCCCGTAACTGCTGCTCAAACGCCTCCATATCCACGTCGAGAGAGAAGCGAATGTCAAATGTGGCCTCGATAAGCGAGGGCAGCACATTTGTTTGAACGCCCCCGCGAAGCACTGTCAGGTTGACGGTGGTTACGTCCCCCAGACTCTTCCCTCCTGCCAGCAAGCGCTGCCGCTCGCCGGCTCGGAACTGCATCAATTTCTGAGTCACATAGTTAAGTTTTTCGCCCGCGGTATTTGGCAAGAGCATGAGACCGTGTCCCGCGGCTCCCGAGATATTCAGCTTGAGGTCTGTGGTTAGCAAAGGTGTTAAAAAATAAGATGGAAGCGCATGGAGAGAGGGTTAACTTACGCCAAAGAGTGCGCTCTGCGTAAAACACCGAGTATATCTCGCCTTCGTCGGCCATGCCTTCATCCAGAGCGAACCCTATGTTTAAATCTTTGAAGTGCTTCGTGTTGACGTAGTCCTTCATACCATGGGCCCCGCCAATTTCCTCGTCCGGTACAAAGCTCAGGAAGACGGTGCGCCTAGGCTGATACCCACTCGCTTTGAGGGCACGTATGGCTCCCAAATATTGCATTGCGACGCACTTCATATCCTGTGCTCCGCGCGCATAGATGCGACCGTCCTCAGCAAGATGTGCACTAAAAGGAGGATTTGTCCAGCGCTCGGGATAAACGGGCACCACATCCATGTGCGAATTAAGCAGTAAGGCCGGCAAAGCGGGCTCACTGCCCATCCACTTCATCACAACCACCGGCTTGCTGGGCACCACCGGGTGAACCACTTCTACGGGCAAGTCCAGACTAGCGGCCTGGCGTCGCAAAAAGGCCACACACTCGGCTGGATGGATAGAAAACAGAATAGTTCTTCAAATTTCAGCAATAACAGGAAATCCGTGGAGATCACCGATTTATTTCACTCTCATTCGCTAAAAGATTTTAGTTTTCAGATAAGTACAAGTATTACTTGTAGTATTTTTGAATAGCAATTGTATGGGAAACAACTTTAATATCACTCAATGAGGCTGAGTGGTTTTGGACCTATCATCTGCCTAATTATCTTCAAACTAAATCAGAACTCACTGTAGTCTATATCCGGCTGCACTGTGGGAATGCGCAGATACTCCCGAAAGATGGCAATCTCCTCATTCTTTTCCCACTTCTCGATATTGCTCATATTGGACTGATGTCGGCTGAAGTGGTCGGGACTAGCGCTGGTCCACAGATGTACGGAATTGAGTATAGCCCAGTATTTAAGTGTGCGTCGGAAAATGATAAGCCGATTGTTTATCAGCAAGTTGTCAAATGGATCCACTTGCTTTCAACGAGTCTTATCGCAGCCTCCATAAAAACAATAGATTACTTGCGACTTTGTCGATTTAGTTGCCCTCCCCCATAAAATGACTAAGCATATAATATACGCTTAACCCATCGCCTGCCTGTGGGCGTTAACTAGCACGTTAGTGAAAGAAAACAAGAGAGAGTTACAATCTTTATTCTGCACTCCAAGAAACTTTAAAACGTAGTTTTTCGATTGGTCGATTGTAGGAGAAAACTAGGAAACATTACAAATACAGTGAAAACTCTCATAAGGGACACCACTTTTTTCCGAACACCGCTCTTAGGCGGACAGTTTTTCTGTGTCCGGCCTCAGAGTTTTTACTGTATTCAAAGAAATAAAGTCATGGTCTCTAATCCGTAGAGTCTATATATGTAGCCAACTCGGTTGTTGTAATTTGAACCATTTTTGAAGTATGGACATTATAGTTTTACTCATTTGGGTAGAGAATATAAAAAGAGCGCCAGACCGACACTGGGATACTCTGCACCAGCCTCTCTTTCCGTTGCAGTTTATAAATTAAAATCGGTTTTTGTTTAATGAAAAATTTCAAAGTCCATTTTGACTCTCTAGTACATCATTGCCCTTCGGTTTTTGGGCATGAGTATACCATACCATATATAAGAACACAGTTTGGTTGAAATTGAAGAGTATCAAAAGTTATACACATATTAAAATCTCAGTTGAATATTCTTTTTATATTCATTAAAAGTCTAAGTTACGCCTTTAGATTGAGAATTAAAATAATTTTCCAGTCCTCTAGGCTTATTTCATTTTATTCCTGTTTTACATTCTACCTACTGCCTAAAGAGCAGTGGAAAACCCACACAAAAACCATTAAAAAAATGTGTAATATACATAAATGCATATAGAGGCTTGCTTCACAGTTGCATATTGCCACCGGGGAGGGGAGGTTAGGCGTTGGCCACAGCTGAGATGAGCTTCTTGTATACCTCGATGCCATGCAAGTAGGTATCAGCGCGCAAAAACTCGTCATGATCGTGTAACAGAATGGGCGTGTTGTTGATGGGTGAGAAGCCCAGGGCAGGGATACCAACTTCACGCACATAACGACTGTCGGTGGCGCCGGGAAAGACGCAAGTGCGCACCTTAAGTCCGCTGTGGATGTTAAAAAGTATGAGCATAGAGGCGCGGGCTTCAAAATGGCACTCACAGTTCATCGAGAGTCTGTTTGAAGGCTAGCCAATATGGATTTGATGCATCGATCTTGGTGGGCGGCACATACGGATTTTTCATCTCAAAATCTAGCTCGATGCCACCACCAGCTTCGGCGCACCAGTTGCGAATCTGCTGCTCAAAGGCTGCCACATCTACATCGATGGCAATGCGTATGTCAAAGGTGACTTCCAGAATAGGTGGCACCACATTGCTCTGCACACCACCATGCGCCTGCGTGAGGTTAACTGTCGTCACGTTGCCAATGTCAATGTTGGGATCCTGCTCCAGACGCTTAACTTGCGAGGCGCGAAACTCCATCATCTTATTCACCAGGTAGTTAAGTTTCTCACCCGCCGTGTTCGTCAGTAGCAACGAGCCGTGGCCTGCAGTGCCGCTGATCTTGAACCGGAGATCTGTAAACATAAATAAAGAGTGAGCTTAGAAGAGGAAATGGTTATTGCATATTGTGTGCTACTCACGCCACAATGTTCGTTCGGCATAATACAAGGCATATGTGTTGTCTTCACTGGCAATGCCCTCGTCAAAGCTGAAGCCTACGTTAAGCTTTTTGAAGTAGTCCATTTGAACCAGATCACGCATACCCAAATGACCGCCAATCTCCTCATCTGCAAAGGACAAGAGTGCTCAGTTTTCAAATATCGAACATGCCTTAAAAACTTACCCGGCACATAGGTTAAATAGACAGTTCGTTTGGGCTGGAAGCCAGAGGCTTTAAGCGCGCGTACGGCGCCTAGATATTGTGTACCTACGCATTTCATATCCTGTGCACCACGTGCAAAGATTCGACCCTCAGCATCTATGTCTGCTCCGAACGGAGGATGTGTCCACTTGTCGGCAAAGACAGGCACCACATCCGTATGCGAATTGAGTATAATGGATGGCAGCTCCGGCTGCTTGCCCAGCCATTTTATGACCACCACTGGCTTGGTCTCCACCACTGGACAGATGACCTCTACAGGTAGCTCCAAGCTAGCGGCCTGCCGTTTCAGAAACTCCACGCAACCGGCTGTAAATGGCGCGTGTTTTTAGTTTTTTTATGACATGCCACAAAGATACGGACCGGCCATATACATACATATGTACATATGTATGTAGATATAGCTAACGACCCAAGACTTACTGTAATCCACATTTGGATGCACCGTCGGTATGCGCAAATATTCACGGAAAATTTTAATTTCCTCATTGTTTTCCCACTTTCCTTGGCTCATTTTAATGGATAGCTAAAATGGCAGTGTTGCGCGTATGTATGTGTTAGTGCGTATGCTTATACATATGTACATACATATATAGATCAGAGTACGAATAAAGCAAATATATACATATCACAGCATTTGTTTTAAACTAAATTCGATCACAACAAGTTCACATTCTTCGTCGATCAGCTGTTGGTTTTTCATTGTTTTTGTTTCTGCTTCTCTTTAGCTCTTACCTTCACAACACTGGCAACGGTCGATCGCGACTATGCACTTTCGAAACTTGGCACTTGTTTAAATAAGCCACCAATGCTCGCCGGCATCTGCTTATTCCACTGTTTATTGCATTAACATATCTGTATCTGTAAATATATATGTGTGTGCGTATGTCTAGGCGTACACATTTCTGTGGTTCTCCCGCTTATCAGTGCCATAATTTGCACTATCAGCCGCTGAGCCGCTTAATGGGATACGGAATAATTGGTGTGCGGTTTCTTATCCTTATCTCTTGTTATTGTTTGCATTTAACCCAAATGTGTACAACTCAAGATACAAATGTATATTAGTTATAAGCGAATGCTAGCTTGGAGTTCATTTACAAATCGAAACACGCCAAAATAAATAGATTAAATATAAAGTAGTGAGGTTAAAGCAACTCATTAACAACAGTTAGGAATGAATTACTCAATAAAATGTTGAAAGAACAAATTTCAAAAAAGTTTTCATGTTCGCCTATTGTTTTATATTGTAATAGTTATGCTTGATTAACATGTTAATAGAGTTTGCACGATAAAAACTGTTTGGTTCGTGAAGTAACACCTTGTAATTCAAATTTATTTGAATCTTCTACAGATTTCTTTGAAGATTAAATTGCTTCTTCAATACGGTATAAAATGCATCCAATGGCCTATTTTCCAAAGAAGATGTGAGATTTTGAATTGGGATAGACATAGAATTCTGTTCAATGAACTAACGAGGCTTTATCTACAAAACACAAATCATGGCATTAATTTAAGACTTGGAAGAAGAACAAACACTAAAATTAAATATGCAAACACAAATGCGTTTAACTAAACACACACAACCCACACGTACACACACATATGCATTTTGTTGACGCGTTTGTCAAGCTTATAAATTAAAATAAATTGTCGTTATCCGCCAACACGCTGAGCAATGGATAAGAAATAGAATCTAGACTGAAAATATGAAACGGATGAACGAACGATCGAACAATCTAAACAAGTATAAGAAACTGTTAAAGAAACATTCTTGATTTTTCTTTTTAGTACAGATGTACCTCCCCTGAAGTGATTTAGCAGACGCATGATTTTTGCTATCCATTACAAACATACCAATAAAGATCGTGAAGTTTTTGAATTCTAAATAGTAAGCACTAAGAAATGATTAAGACCGTATATAAGCTTTAAGCAGATCCTTTGCAAACAAAACGAGGCTTTAAATGAAAACCATTAAGAGGGAGAATTCTTCAAAAAGAGAATTCTCGTCGGCATTATTTGAAAAGCCTTTATATATTCAACATATTTGTGATATTCGACAATTTGTTTGACCATATTGATCATCCTACAAACATCTAGTTTCAAATTATTCCATCAATCAATCTGGATATTTCCAATTTTAACTAAAATTTAGCTCAAATTTAGCACGGGAAAAGCGATCTTCAGCCACTGTGCGTCGCTCTTTAAACATCGCTATCAGATCGCAACGAAACGTAATGCCCTCGAAAATGCGGCTGCCTATGAAATTGAGTGTTGCGGCGATTCGACTCATAGACTCGACAGTGACACACGAGACGTCGCACGTCGTAGCTCGCACCTGGCAGTAGCTGTTGAAATGAGTGCCAATACCGATTGGGAGTCTAACGAGGAGCTGCAGCTCTTTCGAGAGTACCTGCGCATTCCCAGCGTCCATCCACATCCGAACTATGGTAGGTAGCAGTGGCGGATCGTTTGATCAATTTTCATGACGCAACGTCTTCTAATCATCGCTTTAAGTGCAGACGGTTGTTTGGAGTTCTTAAAGCGTCAGGCCAAGCAACTGGAGCTACCCCTGGCCGTTTATTATCCGAGCAATGCGGATAATCCTGTGGTGGTGATGACCTGGATAGGTCTGGAGCCTGAACTGCCCGCCGTCTTACTCAATTCGCATATGGATGTGGTGCCCGTATTTCCGGAGAACTGGACACATCCACCCTTTGGTGCAGACATTGATAAACAGGGTCGGATCTATGCGCGCGGAGCTCAAGACATGAAGTGTGTAGGGATGCAGTATTTGGGAGCCATACGTGCACTTAAACAGAGTGGGTCCAGGTTCAGGCGCACTATCCATATTTCATTTGTAGCAGGTTAGTGATTACGGTTGGGGGTAATAGAAGTATCATATAAAGGATTCCCTGTTGCTTGACATTAGATGAAGAAATGGGCGGCGCTCTGGGCATGCGCCCGTTTGTCCACACCGATGAGTTTCGTGCCCTAAATGTAGGCTTTGGACTAGACGAGGGTTTGGCTTCGCCAACAGATGAATTTCCAGTTTTTTATGCGGAACGCAGCGTGTGGCGTAAGTAGATTATGTACTTGTATATGGCGAGTCCTAATCCTGTGCAGGATTTTATTTTAAGGCTAGCGGCACCGCCGGCCATGGGTCGTTGCTGCTTCCCGGCACTGCGGGCGAGAAGCTGAACTATATCGTGGGAAAAATGATGGAGCTCCGACGTAGCCAGGTGTTACGGCTCGAGAACAACCCGGAGCTGACCATTGGGGATGTGACAACCGTTAATTTGACGCGTCTTAGTGGTGGCGTTCAAAGCAATGTGGTGCCTCCTCAACTTACCGCCTGCTTTGATGTACGCCTGGCTCTGGACGTAGATCATCGACAGTTTGAGGCGGATGTGAGTGCCAGTTTGTAATTCCTGTTTTTTCGAACAGCACTTACGCATTTATTTTAGATGCATAGGTGGATCGAAGAGGCTGGTGGAGGCGTTGAGCTGGAGTACGAGCATCAGAGGCCGCGAGTGGAGCCTACGGCCACCGATGAGAGCAATCCCTTCTGGATGGCTTTCAAGAGCGCCACCGATGAACTGTAAATGAATGAATGAATAATTCAGTACTACGATGTCTAATACATAATTGGTTACAGGGGTCTGGACATAAAGCTGCAAATTTTTACCGGCGGCACTGACAGTCGCTATTTGCGTGAATTGGGTATTCCGGCCTTGGGCTTCTCGCCTATGAACAACACTCCCGTGCTACTGCACGACCACGATGAGTTTCTACAGGCCGATGTCTATTTGAGGGGTATCGAGATATTCAAGAAAATTATTAAAAATGTAGCCAATGTGTAGGCATTTCGTTATTGCTTGCTATAGATTAAATATAAAAGTGGTTTCGAAAAATAAACATTTCATAGTTTATGCTGATTAGATTGCTTGATAACAAACTCACATAAATATAACGTAGAGTATGGGCGGGTGCTGCCGTTAGCATTGAAATTTCTAAACGTCGTTTTACCTCACTGAAACTTATCGGCTTTCGATGTCACCGCTGCGACAATAGCTAAATAAAATATGTCTCATTGACATTAATTTGCAGCATAGTTTCTGTGAATACAACTATTATGCCTTTTGTGTTCATAATCGAAACGTATTTTATTTAACAATCTATTTGTTTACGTTTTTTTGTAGGAATTTTTCAACACTAATCAACTTTCTTCTGCAATGGCAGAGCTAACCAGCACTATTCAGTTCATGCAATGAATAACTGACACCCTGTCTTAAAGTAATTCTAATTCTGGTAACTTTATGCATTAGGTGTGACGCCTGCTCTTACTAATTCCAAAGTTGTTTTAAATGTAATAGATGGATTAGCACTAAAAGACAGTGTCATTTAGCAACTACGAGGCCGTAATGTTACTTCGACAAATTTTCAGAACTCTAAAAATACGAATTTTAACATACATACATATACAGTACGTCAAGTCCCTTTTTTCCAGTTAAATAGGAAAATTGCTTTTAATGTTTGCCTCCAAGAAAAGAAAAAATGTTCTATACATTTTTATAAATTGCTTGTGCTTTTTTTTAATTCTGAACTATAATATGTACATATAGAATGAAGTTCCACAACTCCAATGGGTACTTTGGTATTAATGTTAATAAGCGTTAGGAAATAATGAATTGTATCCCATTTTCTTTTAATAATTTCCGGATGCAATTTATCGAAAATCTAACTAAACTAAACTTTCTTAAATATTTCTTTAGAAACATCGAACAATAAAATTTTTTTTCCAGAGTCTTCAATTTATAGCTTTGATGCTGAATATTTTTATAGTTCTATTGTTTTCGTTGGAATAATAAAATGCAACCGAAACACAAGCCATATGTTTAAATTAGCCGCTTTGTAAGCAGCTGCAACCGCTGGGGAATTTCTGCCCTTTACAGCACTATGAGTGAACAGCTGTGCCGTTTTTGTTTGCCAACTCGCTGTGACTGCCAAGTTGTGCTCCAAACGTTTCGCTCTCTTCGCAGTTGGCTCTTGTTTTTCACTGCGTTTGGTGGTCGTGGTCGGAAAATCGGGGGAGTTGTAATAAATCATAATATAATAGAAGCGCTGCAAAGCATAAACTTTTAAACCGAATGCAAATCGTGAAAGGCGTACCAACAACCATTTTTGCAAAATGCTAGCGAAATAGCAGCAGCATCGACAACAAGCTAGCAAAGTGTCAGCGTTAAATACCTTATTTTTTTCTCGGCATTTTTTTTACCTACAATAAAAATGTGCAAGTTGTAAGTGTGTGAGTGCGTGCGCGACAACACAACAGCAACAACAAAAAGAACAAGAAGCATGCGGTGCTCTTTGGCGTGAAAAAAGCAAAAGGCAACAACAACAACAATAAAATCAAACAGGGCCCCGTCAACACAAACGAAAATTATGTTGAACTAAGCGAGCACATCACACACCAAAGAAAAACAAAAACAGAGCAAGAAACGAAAAGAAAAAGTAAAACAAAAAAAAACAGCGCAAAAATCAATAATTAGAGCGCGTACCAAAGCAAAGCAAAGCAAGGTAGGCCAGCCAAGTAAAATGCGAACAAGAGTAAAAAGTTATTAATTTATGTATTTTTGTGTGCATTTTACACGTACATACATACATCACATTTCATGCTGTTGTTGAGTGTTTGTTTGGCAAACCACTTCCAGGTTTTTGCTCTTACCAATACGTAGTGCAAGTGAAATGAAAAACTCCGCGTAACCCTGTACGTGCACACGTAGGAGTATGTGTGTGTGTGTGTGCGGTGCCAAATCAGACACACAAACACACACGCACGCTCGTACATGATGCAACCCGGCACGGCCCGCTGCTGACAGTGCTTGGCCGTTTAGTTTGGTCCATGTGCGTTAGTTGTGGCAGCCGCAGCAACAACAATTTCCGCATAACTGGATGCTCAGGCTCTCAGTTAGTGAGAGCTTGTGCTATTGTTACGCTCTTTCTCTCTCTCCTCTCCCACTGTCTCTTGCTTTTCGTTCTGCCGTGCTCTTCGGCAAACGCAAACGCATGCAACGACGACGTAACACCGCCATTGCCGTCCAATTGGAAAACGACGTAAGGGCTGCTGCTGCTGCTGCCGTCACCTTTGCTGCATTGCAGTGCTGCCCAACACCCTGAACCTCCTGGTGCCATTATGTGCGCTCTACTCTGCTCTGAGCATGTCGCTTTGCGTGAGCGCTTTTGCACAGTGGACTCGATGATATCGGGCTTCTTCTTAAGTAAATGAAATAACATACATAACATGTACATAAATTTATGTGAAAACTTAGGAATCGCATTTACCCGCAACTAGAACTGCACACAACATTGAAAATAAAATTAGCATTACAAACTAAGGAAAGCAACAACAACTTAACCTAAGTAGTTTTTCTGCACTATTCAAAAATTTTCAGTTCGAATACTATTTTTAATTTGTACTACTATTGTCGCCTCTTGTACAGCATTCGCAAGACAAAACTTATTTTCAAAACAAAATTAGCAACTAGTTGCCAAAAAAAAAAAACAAACGTTTCCTTTCTCTATTTCTCTCTTTATTGAATTCCAGTAAACAAATCAATCGTAATCATACAAATTTTTTGTTGCGATTATACCAAAAACAATAATAAAGCCAGAAAAGAAAAACAATCATCAAAAAAAAGTATACAAAGTACGCGCCATTCCAATTGGAAAAGTCATGTTAAACAGCGCCAATAACAATTTTGTGCAGCATGTAAGTAGACACGACGAACGATTCAATCGTTTAAACTTTTTCAATAGCACGTAGAACCTCATAATATGCATTATTCTCTTTAATCTTTGCATGCGATCTTTGTAATTATATGTATGTACTTGTATTTGTATTTATACTATGTGTAAATATAGCAACACATCCATTTCTATTTATCACATCTACATATAACTCTCAATAATTTCAGTTTATTTTAACTTGTACACTGTGTAGAACCTACAAACAAACTTGGAATGCTTAAGAAGCTGATATGTGGCCTGTAAATCCCTAATATTTGCCTTAAAACACAATTATCTGCGGAATTATAAATGGCTCTCGCCTCACTTGGCTTCGTTCGTGTTCCAAATTCTAGATTCGCAGAGATTTAAGAATCGGCTCTCATAAACCTTAAAAATGCATATTCGTTCAAATATATCTGATTTATTTGGTTGAAATTAGTTTGGATGTTCTTTTCCTTCAGAAACAAGTTAAGAGATGAAATGCCATTCTTATAGTCGGTGCTTTTGTGATTTATAATATGTACATACTGGTTCATTTGTAGATCGAAAACGCAAATAAATTGATTAGTATTTATTATTATATATCTGCCCATTTATTATAGTTTGAATCCGATCACAAAGGAACCCACAGAGAAGGTTTTGAGTTGACGACTTTTGAATAAGCCCCTTTTAGAACATTTGAGTTGGGAACCTTTAGCTTAAGCATTTTTATTACTGTTTAATCATGTTGAAGGTTCATTAATTAAATATTCTTAACGATCAGTATGTGTATGTACTTGTAGTATATGAACAAATAGTTTAAATGTTGTAGTTTAAGCGACGAAGTTTTTAGTTCATATAACATAAAAGAGTATAAGGCGTAGAGCTTGTCCAGAAGCTTTAACTTCAGGAAACACCAGTGCGGTGTGTTAATAGGCGAACAAACCATCGTCACATAAAACGCATAAAATCTGCCCAGCTGTTTGTCAGATTCTTTATCTACTTATAATCAAACCATATCGTTGGATTATTATTCCAATTTTCAATTGAAGTTTTGATTGATCGTATAATAAATATTTTGAAAAGGAGCTGTTGCAAGTATTTGTGGCAAAAAATGCACTAATTGCAATCAACATTGTAATTGAAATCTGATGCAAATGGCATCGAACTATAAACTAGGATTTTGTGGCAATCAAAAATGTTACTTCCTTAGACATCACCCCAGCCAATTGACTCATGCATTCACAGCCTTTTGGTCCGATTATATACGTTGCTTTCACATCAGCCAGTTGATAGGTGCGCACAACTGATGGAAACAACTTTAGCCGTAGGGAACGGAATTCAATCTTACCAAACGTGAGTTGCCCCCAATATTGTGTGGCGCACGTTGCACGCACAGCAGCGTCTGGCTGTCTGCTTGTCTGGTTATCTAGCTGTCTGTTGTGCTGTCTCCTGCACTGAACCCTTTTTGACACATAAATCGTTGGGAAACATGTGTCACAGTTGTGCATGGGAGGAGCTTGAGGTTACCTTTGTAAATAATGGGGCTAACCGAGCATACCGAATTAACTCACAGCCAGTGCCTGAACAAATGGCAAAAACCAATTTGTGAACGCTCGACTTAATCAATTTGCATACTCGGAAAACTATTTAATACGCAGACGGAAGTGTGTCAATGACGACTCACCAGCCCCTAGTACTCCCCTCGCCACAGGGAGTCGCTCATCATTGAACGCAGAACTGTTTCGATGGGCCAAAGGCAAGGGGCAATAATTGCAGTGTTGTTCCGACTTGTTCCCTATCAATATCTTGCCCAGAATACACAAAAAAAAAGGCGTATTAGACTTCATTATATTTCAGAGTACCGGTATTAGGGGTGTCAATCAATACTTACATAACTATTATGGGACTACGTACACTTAAGGTTCCTTTTCTAATCTACCGTACCATGTTGTGATAGAGAGCTGTGAAGCTACTGTTTTCATAAAAACAAGATAGAACGCTACAGTCGAGCAAGCCCGACAGTAAAATACCCTGTATTCCCAAAAAAATGGAAAACTTAAAAAAACAAATGTGTATCAAAAAATAAACAAACTTGATCTGTTTAGAGGTCAGGAGAACCTGAATACCAAGTTTGGTTATTCTAGCTCTTGTACTTGCTGAGATCCTTGCGTTCATACAGACAGACAGACAGACGGACATTGCTATATCTACTCGTTTTTCACCCTCTGGGTACAGGGTATAAAAACTGTAAATAGTCGAACCCCAGGTATTATGTGTATGCTTTTTTGTAAATGTACCAAAAGTGTTTCAGAAATGGTCATTCTTTGGAACTGATTGTCTCTTAAGCTACATTTTTTTCCAATTGTATACCTATGTAATGGGATAGATCTAAATCTTAGTTTTCAGTTGCGAAAATGCAAGCTACTACATTTTCTTTAGTGTAGTAGAGTAGGCAAGGCCATTCCCTATAGTATTAATTAAATGTTTATGTTTTTTATTTGTTTCTTGAGCTCTTACTTTCAGACTAATATAAGTATCAGTTGCCTTAATATTCTTTCATATTGAAAAAAATTACGTTTCGATATCAGCGGAGGAACTGGCTGTGATTGAAACGGTAAATTTCCTTTTCAGGAATAGTGTTTTTCAAAGGCCTAACAAACTCACCATCTCCATCTGACGATCGCTTAAACGAAAACATTTAACTTTTGTTGGCTTCATTGAGAAGAGCACACCCGGGACTGTCTAAATTGTGTTCCATGGCCAGCATTTTTGTTAGAAAGCGCTACTTTCGGCAATCAGGAGACAGCTGAGTGTCCATGGACTTACAGTTGTGTCCACATGTACGTACATCTGTATGGGTGCACAGATTGATGTTGCACTCTAGTTGTCAGGTATCAGTGCATTTGCCAGCGCATTTTGTGATTTTCCCAAGCGCTGCATGTGAAAACTTTTCAATTATCTCAACCAAGAGACAAAAGTAGAATTGATTGAAAAACTGAAACCGAAACCAAAGCGAAGCGAACCAACCGCTGCTGTATTTCGCACAAAAGTCAACAGAAATACGAAAAAAGTTTTGTTCCCCATGGTTCACTCCCCCCCCCCCCCCCCCCCCCCTCTTTCTTGTTATTCCTCTTCATTTCATGTACATACTACAAGCGGCGATTTTCACTTCGTCTCCGTCGTCGTCATTCGCATCTTTTGCTTTTTTGTATTTGCTTGCATTTTAAAATAGTTCTCTACTTTGAAACAGATTTTATGCAACTGAGGGCGGCTAGGCAGGGGAAGGTGCTGGCCAAGAGCAAGCAGAATGCAGCACTACTCTGCAGTTGTTTATCGCTTGACTCCGGCCCCCAGCCCCCGGCCCCTGGTCTCCGGACCCGTTCCATCCACATTCTGGGACGCTTGACTAGCCCGCTCTGCTGCCAAAATCGGAAGGCAAATGCATTAAGTGCCTTTGATTGAACAAAAATTTAAACGTTCTCGATTTGTTTTGCACATTTTGCATGCGATTTAGCTTGTGATCTTTGTACATATTACATACGTACAAGTATACATATTTATATCTGGTATGTAATTATGTGTATGGATGCGGCCTGTCTGTATATCTGTGCGCGAATCAATACGTAAATCTTTGTAGGAACACGCGCCAAAGTTGTAAAAAGTAGTGCACATGCATTTGCATTCAACGAGTTGTCATACTACAAGTATATTGTCTTCTGAGTCATCCATCCAGTATGTTTAGTTTTGTTCAAATTTTCTGCAATGCTAACAAAAGTAAAGTGATTCTGGCCTTCATCTCGGCAACCCTTATTATGGGATCATTTTCGGCTAGCAAATACGATTTCCATATATATTTTTTAATGTTCTCAAATGTTGATAAAGGCTGCGACTTAATATTAATATTGGTATTCATCAGAGGTCGAGATCATATATACAAGTAATCTCACAAAATTTAATATCGAACGTATCATTTCTAATTAAAGACAAAAATATATTGGATATATTATATTGGATATATATATATAATATAACTAGATATTTGTATTCAAGTTTAGTCTCGTAAAATTGCCAAATGTGGCGTTATTATCATTTTTTGCCCGATTATTCCTGCGACATGCTAGTTTAGGGGATTATATATTAGAATTAAATGTACATATCTAGTATAATCTAGATATTAGTACAACAAAAAAGATACTTACGGAATGATGCAATCATGTGGAAACATTAAAAACGGTACGGATCCAACGCTCACGATGACTTTTCAATCTTATAATTTTTGCTACTAAGTAGGAGCTGTGCCCATCATATCAGAACTACAAGTATATTGCATTTTACTTGCTCACGTTTACTTCCTTCCTGCAAAGCGGATTATTTCATTAAACATCTATATAATATTATAGGGAAAGAAGTGCTTGAACGAATAGAAAGTGGAAAAGTTATACTTGTAAGTACTAAGTTAAATGTACGCATTTCACTCTAAAACATTCTTTTAAATGTGGGTTTAGAACATAAAAAGTAGATTATTCTTAAACTACAAGCTAACATTGCGTCTATATCAGGTTCAGTGTTTGCATTAGCTATATAGTCAAGAGGTATTATGAAGTTCAGGCAAAACAAGCAAGAGTCTTATTGGAGTCTTACTAAAAGAGCCTTAACTAAAAATAAATGTATAATATTAATATATTAATCATTTTAAATTAAATTGAGAGGGAGTCTTTCTTTCAAATTGTGGGTGGTGCTAAAGAAAGGATATTTTCTTTCCCATTGTTGTTTAAATGCGGGTTCCACTATCCATCGAAAGTATTTATAGTAGATTTCTGCGATAAATTAAAAAGCTAACGAGAGTATAACATTCCTGAATATTTAAGGTATTATAACATACTACATAAAGGTCTATAAAATGGTGTTTAAAGGCTTTGGGGGATCGATTCTGAGTATTATTTTTTTTTTTGTTGGCAGTTTTTGGTGCACAAAACTTTGGTGTTCAATTTTCTTTGGCTA